GCTCAGGAATTCTGGGAGTTGAAGTCCATGAGTCATAAAAGAGCCGAGGCTGCCTACCCATATCCTAGGACGAAGATTAAGAGCAGGGGTCTTCAAACTTGGCTCTTTTATGACTCGTGGACTTCAACTCCCAGAATTCCTGAGCCAGCCATGTTGAGGGGAAAGGGAGAGGTTTCCAAGCTGAGCCATGCCGGCTCAGGAATTCTGGGAGTTGAAGTCCACGAGTCATCAAAGGGCCAAGGTTGCCTACCCCTGCTCTAAAGGTACAAACCAGTAGTTCCACTGGATGTAGAGTTGGTCTATAGCAGGAGTGGGGAACCTTGGCTCTTTTATGACTCGTGGACTTCAACTCCCAGAATTCCTGAGCCAGCTGTGCTGAGGGGAAAAAGAGAGGTTTCCAAGCTGAGCCGTGCCGGCTCAGGAATTCTGGGAGTTGAAGTCCACGAGTCATAAAAGGGCCAAGGTTGCCCACCCCTGGGCTAGGGACAAGATTCTTGGGGCTCACTTCATTTCCTGCTCGTCTTCCTCCAATTCCCGCTGCTTCTGCTGCTCCTCAAAATCTTTGTACTGCCGCAACATGGATTCAAAATCCACGTTGGCCTGGCGCTGGTTGAGCTCTTTCAGCTCCTGCAAGTTTTCCAAAACTTCCATCTCTAGTTTGGAATCCTTGGTTCTGTTCTCCAAAACCTGGAAAAATAAAAAGCAGAAAGGTGCTAGGATTCGGAGGGCAGTTAGTTAGAACTAATAGTGAGAGATGAAGAAGCTTCTTGGGTGAGAAGCTAAACGTTTTCAAAGGAAAAAGCCAAGAAAAATGAAGTTGCCTTTTGGAAAAGCACCTTTGAGATGAGAATGAAAGATTAAAAAAGCAAAATGGGACATCTACTTATTTTTATTCTCGTTTCTTCTGGGCTGGCTCTTCCAGAAGGGAGAATGAGAATCAGTAGTAGCCAATCACCAGGAGACGGTGAGTTCTAGTCCTGCCTTAGGCAGGAAAGCCAACTGGGTGACTTTGGGTCAATCACCAGGAGACAGTGAGTTCTAGTCCCACCTTAGCCATGAAAACCAGCTGGGTGACTTTGGGTCAATCACCAGGAGACAGTGAGTTCTAGTCCCACCTTAGCCATGAAAACCAGTTGGGTGACTTTGGGCCAATTACCAGGAGATGGTGAGTTCTAGTCCAGCTTTAGGCAGGAAAGCCGGCTGGGTGACTTTGGGTCAATCACCAGGAGATGGTGAGTTCTAGTCCCACCTTAGCCATGAAAACCAGCTGGGTGACTTTGGGACAATTACCTGGAGATGATGAGTTCTAGTCCAGCTTTAGGCAGGAAAGCCGGCTAGGTGACTTTGGGTCAATCACCAGGAGAGGGTGAGTTCTAGTCCTGCTTTAGGCATGAAAGCCGGCTGGGTGACTTTCAGCCAGTCACTCCCTTTCAGCTCAACCCACCTCACAGGGTTGTTGTCGTGGGAAAAATAGGAGAAAGAAGGCGTGTTGTCTACGTTCCCCATGTTGTGTTACTTGTAATAACTATAAAGGCAGGAACTAAATAAACAAACAATAAGGCAGGCTAGTTGCTGAATGCCCAAAACTTGGTCATGTGACTGTAGTGTGCGTGTGTCTCCCTCTGTCTGCCGTGACACTGAATGGTTACTAAGCAACCAGTTGTAAGTTGAGGACTACCTACACAGGAATATATAAAAACTACCAGGCAAAGAAATCCAGTTCCTGCTCTCCCAACGGTCTATTTAGAAAAAGGAAGAATAAAATTCCTTTCCCGGCTAAGGATTGGCCAACCACCTTCATGGGATTATTCAGCTCTTCGTCTTCTCTCTCTTTCTGCAAACGCTTCTCCTCTTCCTCCAGCAACTTCTCAGCCTGGAAGTTGCGCGTGGCGCCGTGCTCCATGGCGTAATCGGTGTTTTCAGGGTCTGTCTGAAGAGAGAACAGGAAAAAGAGGGAAGAGATTTAATTCTCTGGTCTGAAAAACCGGAAGGGCTGAACCGCGGACGATCGGCTGCTCTCGGCCGAGTCAAAATTTGCAACGGACAGCAATAAACATTCTGCATAAATGTTCCCGCTTGTGGTGCGCAGAATAGAGGACAGCTGACCCTGAGTTTTGAGGTAACAGAACAGAATATCTTTATTGTTGCGTACCTCACAACGAAATTAAATGCCGTCCACAGTCTACACGACACACAAAAACATACATTATATTACACACATCCTTTACATTCTATTCACCATTGCGCTGCCCCTAATATTGCACTATAATAATAATGATAATGATAATGATGATGATGATGATGATGATGATGATGATGACGATAACGATAACAATAACAATAATAAAGTTGGAAGGGACCTTGGAAGTAATCTAGTCCAACCCCCTGCTCAGGCAGGAAACCCTATACCATTTTGGACAAATGGCTGTCCAGTTTCTTCTTAAAAATTTCCAGTGTTGGAGCATTCACCGCTTCTGGAGGCAGGTTGTTCCACTGGTGAATTGTTCTAACTGTCAGGAAGTTTCTCCTTAGTTCTAGGTTGCTTCTCTCCTTGGTTAGTTTCCATCCGTTGCTTCTTGTCCTGCCTTCAGGCGCTTTGGAGGATAGCTTGACTCCCTCTTCTTTGGGGCAGCCCCTGAGATAGTGGAACACTGCTATCATGTCCCCCCTCGTCCTTCTCTTCGTTAAACTAGACATCCCCAATTCCAGCAACCGTTCCTTATATATTTCAGCCTCCAGTCCCCTAATCATCTTTGTTGCTCTTCTCTGCACTCTTTCCAGAGTCTCAACATCTTTTTTACACCGTGGTGACCAAAACTGGATGCAGTATTCCAAGTGTGGCCTCACCAAGGCCTTGTAAAGTGGTATTAATACTTCACGTGATCTTGATGTTGTACTATACAGCAGTATTTAATATGGTTACAGCTCTGGGATAAAAACCATTTTTCGGCCTCTTGGTCTTTGTTTTCATTATCCCGTACCGTCTGCCAGATGGTAATAGTTCAAAAACAGAATGCCCGGGATAAGTCTTTGAGAATATTTTGAGCTTTCCTAAGACAACGGGAACTGTACAGTTCGTCCAGAGGGGGGAGGAGGGAGAGAGGAGAGGACAGCCAATAATAATTCTCTGGGCGATGGTAATGACCCTCTGGAGTGCTTTCCTATCCACTACTGTGCAGTTGGCAAACCAGACACAAATGCAATAGGCTACAATGCTCTCTATGGAGCAACGGTAGAAGATCACCAGCAGTTTTTCATTCAGTTGTTATTTCCTGAGAAGTCTCAAGAAATATAATCTCTGCTAGGCCTTCTTAACCAGTGCTGTAAGGTGAGCACTCCAGGTTAGGTCCTCCTTTATGGTAACACCCAGAATCCTAAAGCTTGTAACCTGCTCCACACGGTCTCCACTGATGATCAGGGGCTGAATGTCTGACCTATTACTCCCGTAATCTGCTAAGTTCCTTGGTCTTAGTGGTGTTGAGAACCAAATTATTTTCTCTGCATCCCGAGAACAACCTCATCCCAGTAGGCGGACTCATCCCCCTTGGAGATAAGCCCCACCACCCAGAGTTATTAGCGAGGAGAGACTTTTCTGTAGCGACACTCTTGATTTGGGATACGGGTCCTACAACCAAAAGGAAAGACCGGCAGGGGCAACCCACGGGGGTGGTCCGAAGAGAGGTTGGACGTAAAATATTCAGCAGGAGTTCGATGGTGACATCACCTTGGACGGGTTATGCCAGTATTGCGTACTTTTAGCAATTGCCCTGAGTCAGTGCTATAGAATACTAATAATAAAAAAACGTCGTGAGCAATTTGGTTAGTTACGTTAAAAATTTACTCACGGTGTCAACTTCAGCGAAACAATCGTCTGTGAGGGGTGCAGCTTTGCCAAAAACTAGAAAGTTGAAGTGCACGAGTCATAAAAGAGCCAAGATTGCCTACCCCTAGGAAAGGGTCTTCTGCTCGAGCAAGGGGTTGGACTAGAACAGGGCTTTTCAACCAGTGGTACGGGTACCACCTGTGGTACATTGGCACCTGGCAGGTGGTACGCGGCCATCCTAGGAAAGTGGTAGCGGGGGAGGGGAAGGAGCTGAGCCGGTGGCAGCACCGCACAAGCCTGAGCAAGAGACGGCTGGAGCTGCAGGGCTCAGCGGAAGCACCAGGATCAGTGCCGCTTTCCAGCTGATCGGCACTTCTTCGGGGCTGTCAGGGCTCAGTGGAAGCGCCAGGATCAGCGCCAGGCTCCAACTGGAGGTTGGCGCTGATCCTGACACTTCTGCTGAGCCCAGAAGAAGCGCCGATCAGCTGGAATGTTGCAGCCCCTCCAGGGTCTTGTGATTTACATTCAGATGCTTGGCAACTGATTCATATTTATGACGGTCACAGTGTCCCAGGGTCATGTGAAGTGACCAAAACCTGCTGCAACCACCCAGCAGACGGGGGGAATAAAAACCAAACACCCACCCCACCCCCGCTGCCAATCCCAAACAGAAATGCTCACAACAATGAAAACCTCGGACAGGAGGAAAAGCGCGGCCGGGTGGGCAGGCAGGTGTCTTACTCGGCTGTGGCTTGGGGGGGAGCTTTTTTCAGTGCCATTGTAACTTCGAACAGTCACTAAGCGAACTGTTGTAAGTCGAGGACTACCTGTACTTCATCACTTTTTTCCTTTTGGGGGGGGTCATCAAGTTTTTGACACCTTGCTAGGCGACTGGTGGTACTCGGATATTGCCATATCCTAAAAGTGGCACAATGGGTGAAAAGGTTGAAAAGCCCTGCCCTAGAAGACCTCCAAGGTCCCTTCCAACTCTATTATTCCATGTTCTATGTTGGAAGAGAAGAGAGGCCTAAAGAGGCTTTACCTTGAACGTGATTTCTGCCAGGCAGCGGGTGCATTTGATGTAAAACCGGAAGATGGGAAGTCCCAAATAACATTCATTCTGGACCGTCTCTTTCCGGGCGTTAAATTTTTTGCCCTTGTAAATGTATTCGCCACACGTTTTGCATCTACAAGACAGAAAAGATCTCCAGAAATGCAATTTCTCATTCTTCATCTGTTTACTGACCTTTTTTTAACCCTCACCACGGAAGTTTATGCTACAACTCGCCTTGCTCCGTCTACTTACTATTGCTGGTAGAGGAAAGTCGGGAGCTGCCAGCAGAAATTGTGAATAAATAGTCCTTGACTTACGACCGCAGTTGAGCCCAAACTTTCTGTTTCTAAGCAAGACAGCTGTGAAGGGAGTTTTGCCCCATTTTGTGGCCTTCCTTCCCACAGTTGATAAGTGAATCACTTATTTCCTGACAGAACCATTAATCAAGGAGAGAAGCAACCTGGAACTCAAGAGAAATTTCCTGACAGTTAAAACAATTGGTGGAACAACCTGCCTCCAGAAGTTGTGAATGCTCCAACACTGGAAATTTTAAGAAGAGATTGGACAGCCATTTGTCTGAAATAGTACAGAGCAGGGGTAGGCAACCTTGGCTCTTTATGACTCATGGACTTCAACTCCCAGAATTCCTAAGCCAGCATGGGGAACTATGGCCCCTTTATGACTCGTGGACTTCAACTCCCAGAATTCCTGAGCCAGCATGGGGAAAACCTTGGCCCCTTCATGACTCGTGGACTTCAACTCCCAGAATTCCTGAGCCAGCATGGCTCAGCTTGGAAATCTCTCCCTTTCCCTCAGCCTGGCTGGCTCAGGAATTCTGGGAGTTGAAGTCCACGAGTCATAAAAGAGCCAAGGTTGCCTACCCCTGGTATAGTGTCAACGCTGTAAACACTGGATGTTTCCCGCTCTGACAACTGATGAAAATCAAAGCCATTTTCTCTTTGCTTTTAACATGCTTTTTTCTTCTATTTAGAAATTAGGTGCAGAAGGGGGGGTTGGGATGAATGCTTGAGCTTAGCTAACCATAATAATAAACGCTGCTTTGTGGGAACCCAAGGAGGAATTGATAATGTTTTGGCAGGCTGAGGAGCTGGAGAGAAATCCCAGTTGTTAAATTATTTGAAACCCACCACTGGTCACTTCCAAAGGCCGCTCACTGACTCTTCTGCCAAAACCTGCTTTTATAGGTTCCCTTCTCCCTGCCCAACTCTTGCAGCTGTTCCCGGACTCTGCGTGCATGGAGGAGGGGAGCAGCCCAGGCCCACATCCCTCTGTCTGGGGTGACGGCGTGCATGTCCACAGAGAGGGCTCTGACTGCCCTCTGCCATAGGTTCGCCACCACTGATCTAGTCCAACCCCCTGCTCAGGCAGGAAACCCTATACCATTTCGGACAAATGGCTGTCCAGTCTCTTCTTAAAAACTTCCAGTGTTGGAGCATTCACAGATTCTGGAGGCAGATGGTTCCACTGGTTAATTGTTCTGACTGTCAGGAAGTTTCTCCTAAGTTCTAGATTGCTTCTCGCCTTGATTAGTTTCCATCCGTTGCTTCTTGTCCTGCCTTTGGGTGCTTTGGAGAAGAGCTTGACTCCCTCTTCTTTGGGGCAGCCCCTGAGATATTGGAACACAGCGATCATGTCACCCCTCGTCCTTCTGACAAAATCAATGGGGAAGCCAGACTCACTTCACAACCGTGTTACTAACTGAACAGCTGTAGTGGTCCGCTTAATATCCCACCCAATTTCAAATTGTACAATCATATCGGATGAGAAATCTAACAAGAGAAAAAAAATAATCTGCCTTTAATACTTTGCTTTATCTAAGGCCTTGTGAACCTCTGTTGGCGGACCTGAGTGTGCAGTGCTGGGCACACCTGCTAGGATTATGGCTATGATTTACGGACAATTTCCCCAGCCTGACACTCCCAAGATGTCCACCTGCTAAACATAGAAGATAGAATAATAGTATCTAGGTTAGATTGTTATCTGAGTTTTGATCAGATGACCATGGAGATGCTGTAACGGTCGTAAGTGTGAAAAATAGTCATGTCCCTTTTTTCAATTTCGTTGTCACTTTGAATGGTTACTAAATGAACTGTTGTAAGTCGAGGACTATCTGTAGATGGAATGCTAAAAGAAAAGCTGAAGCAGCCACTCATGGTGGCTATGTGTATCCCATGCACTCACGAATAAATCAGTCATGATTTACACATTGATTCAAAAATATGAACCACAATTTTGCACAGAAGTCAGCTAGTTAATGGGTCAATGTGTTATGTACATTTACTCACGAGCTTCAAAAATCAGATTTCAGAACAGCTGGATTCAAGTATCACAGCTTAGCACAATATGCCAACCAGGCAGCAGATTTAACCCTGAAGTCCAAATATCTGTAACATTCTTTTATTGCAGTATTTCCAACCTTGGTACCTTTAAGATGTATGGACTTCAATTCCCAGAATTCCTCAGCCAGCCTGGAATATGAATATAATTTCCTTGTCTTTGCCCTTGAATTTTCCTTCGTACAGCAAAATTATAAACATAAACAATTAACATTTTGTCATCCTTATGGCCTTTTTTCAAATTGGCTAGATTTTCCAAGTTTGTCTTTTATTATTTCCAAGAAAACAGGATCACCACACATTTAACTCGTTTTAGAAATTGAATATTCCCAAGAGAAACAGAATTTAAGCATCTCTTACCGCATGTTAAAGGGAGCCATCAGCCGGACCACATATTGCCTGTCCTTTGGAAGTTTAAGCTTAGGGATCTTGGATGGATCGAAATCTGGCGGGTAGTATTTCTAGAATGCCCAAAAATAAAAATAAAAATGACTTTTTTGCTTTCAATTTGATTTAATTCAAAAGATCAAAATACAAAATACAAACGAAAAAAAATTAAACACAAAACAAAACTAGACAAAAACATCTAAAAGTGAATTAAAAAACAAAAGACAAAACCACATATTAACCCCACCCCAATTTTCAATTTAAAAAATTGAAAAAAAGAGACCCCCCCCCAAAAAAAAGAAATAACGGATCATTTATTGATACCAATAGCCTAGGCCACTGTTTCTCAACCTTGACAATTGTAAGGCATGTGGACTTCAACTCCCAGAATTCCACAGCCAGCAATGCTGGCTGTGGAATTCTGGGAGTTGAAGTCCACATGCCTTACAATTGTCAAGGTTGAGAAACACTGGCCTAGGCAGGCACAAGAC